CACTACTGTACACCTGTTTTTGTTAAATCTCTTATATTACCAGGATCGTGTGTTTGCGCAAGTTAATGTACCAGTGAGATCCAAGTTTGCTCTCGCATTCAGACTACAGAAATAGGTGTTGAAATGATAGTTACTTCTTGAAACAGCTTGTGTGGTTTGCTAGGCTACATTAATTAGACATACTGATTGTCACTGCAAAAACTCACAACGTCGGCAAGAGATTACAATGTCATACGCCCAGTGTGAGGCAGTTGCATGTGAAGGAATTAGTGCTGAAAGTTATCATAAGCATTTTCTGTTCCTACTAGCCTATCCTTCATAAGCTTTTAGCGTTATTGTTTATATTATAGTTGTTCTGTGCCTATGTCTGATTGAAAATAGTCCGCAAGTATGTGTGTGTGTGTGTGTGTGTGTGTGTGTGTGTGTGTGTGTGTGTGTGTGTGTGTGTGTGTGTATGTGTGCGTGTGTGTGGTTGTGTATGTGTGTTTGTACACGTTGAAAAAATGTAGCGAAGAAGTGGCGGAGGGTATGCAAACCAAAAATATTCAAACTTTTCAAAAATGTTTGAATCTTTAAGATTTGAGTTGTCGAAAACATTCCTTACTAAGTTCATCTGAGTAGCCAAAACAAGGCTCAAATTGGGTCAAAAGGTGCACTCCATAGTAAACCGGAAATACGGTAAAGTGCGCAGTCTTACACTCTAGGCCTAGAACACAAGTCCATGGTCAACACACACCTAATTTTTATTCATACAGCTTAGCTGCAATCCGTACGATATTACCCTAAACATTACTACAGCCTAGATGCATCTACCACATCAAGCCAAACCATGCTGCACTTAACCACTCTAAGACATGCCATAGAAAAACTATAGCACACTTTACCATCATTTACAATAGCCTACCATACTTACCCATACTACACAAGGCTGTGTGATGCCGCGTCCCAATGGCTGTTGCCATAAAGAAACATAATTTGCACCGTGTGTCTTTTTTTTTCTTTCAAAATCTTTGGCAAAAAGCTCCATCAAGAGAACAGAAAGCGACAGATACAAAAATGGGCAAACTTTGCTTTGGCTTACATACAGTTAATTCCGTCGAACTCAAGGAGTTGACAGATATGCCAAGATCAACACTTTCGTGATTGCTTAGACAAAGTTTGGTTTTGAAGTGCAACGGTCTACTTGGAGTAGGGGAGAGAAGGGCAGTGAGCTGGGAAAACTTTCTTGTTAGAAGAATCCCTAGGGACATAAATTTGCCGTTTGTTAGCCATGCAGTGTTTATTGGGTCTTTTAATCAAGGTATGAAGGTGCTTGATTAAAAAGTATATCACCCAGGAAAAAAAATTATTCTTTCGCAAATCCGAGAGCAAAAGACAAACTTGTCAAACACATAAAAGCGACTGGTGGATATTTGTCGTCAACTGCCTAATGAGCGTAACTATCTTAAATATCCCATAAAACGAGTTTCATTGCTTGTGGTTTTCTTCTCAAGAGTTGTTTCGTTAGTTATTGTGTCTCTTAGTCTTCGTACCCATCCTAAGTGCCGGTAAATTCCGTTTTGGACGTTCCAAATAAACCCATTTTAGGTGACTTCTAAACATAATTATTCACATCAAAACGGACGCTCGGAACTTTCAAAAATGGAGAGAACAAAAATCCATGGTCAAAGTAGGTAAAAAAGGGAATTTTTCTGTACCTAATGGCCTTAAAGGCACAGGCATGAGAGTTCAGATTTGTTTATTAAAAGTAAGAACACGTTTATCTTCAAACCGTCTCTACGAAGTGTGAAAATTTGAATCGGAAAAGCAAGCGCTATAAACTGTACACAGAGCCACGACTCGCACAATTGCAATCGCCATTCTGTGTAATTTTGCAACTATAGATAAGCGAGTGCAAATAAGGTCTTTGACTCTCATCACGAAACACATTTCTTCTTCTCTTTGTCAACGGATTTTATCAATAATCTTTTTTTTTTCTCATTCAGCGCTTCTGCTCTTCCTATTCTTGAACCGATCTCAAACCAAATTGCCTCCTCCACCTCGTTCTACAGCTGCAACCAAGACTCTCCTCCTCCTCCTCCTCTTCTTCCTCCTCCTCCTCCTCCTCCTCCTCCTCCTCCTCCTCCTCCTCCTACTACTACTACTACTACTACTACTACTACTACTACTACTACTACTACTACTACTACTACTACTACTACTGCTACTACTGCTACTTATCGCCATCATTATGGCCATCATTATCATCCGCATATTATGCAACACTTTATTTAACAATTGTATTTCAAATGTTCCTACAGGTGTGGTTCCAGAATCGTCGAGCGAAGTGGAGAAAAAAAGAAAAAGTGGGAGGACAAACTCACCCGTTCAGCGCCTACCCAGGGGGTTTGAACCTCATGACGCGGAGCCTCCTAGCTCCTCCACCACCTGGGATGGGCAGCCCTCACCATCCTCACCACCCTCACCACCCCCACCATCCCCACCATCACCCACACGCAGGACACCAGCACACTGCTCACCCAAGCTACTCGGACCTCCTTCTAAAGACCTACGAGAACACCGTGATGTCGAGGTACGGCCTCAACAGTCTCGGCTCTCCGGCAGCAGCAGCAGCAGCAGCAGCGGCAGTGACGCAATTCGGACATCCGTCGTTCTTCTCTCCAACCGCCGCCGCATTCTCCTCCCTCGGTCTCTCCTCCTCTCCTGGAGGAATCGCAGCCATGCGCGCACTGGGGCCCCTCCCCCTGCCCCTCCCACCTCCAGGCTCGTTCCAACATCTATTGGCCAGCATGACGTCTTCAGCCATCAAAGCTCGGGAGGGGGCGGAGCTAAGTCTTCCGATATCCCCTTCGTCCCCGCCCACTACCCCGGGAACTTCAGGGTCAAAGACAGCTAGCCCTTCTCCTAACCCCGACCCTACAGACGTGGTGACCTCAGTGACAGGTGGGCGAAAAGGCCTTGACCGTAGCCCTGACCCTGGACAGCTGGACGAGCGAGGTCAATGTCAAGGTCAGCCGCTTGTCGGGGGAAAAGGAGACCGCCGGAGTTCGAGCATCGCCTCGTTGAGACTGAAGGCTCGAGAGCATCAGATACGCCTGGGGTCGGACAACTGCGCGAGAATAGCTTACTGATTAGACCACCTGTAGCCAGGCTGCTGTTGCAGTTTTGTTGTTGCTGTCTTGCTGTCAATATTGTTGTTGCTGTTGTTGTTGTTGTTGTTGTTATTGTTGTTTTTGTCGTCATTGTTGTTCTTGTTGGTGTTGTTCTTTCTTTGCTCGTTCATTTTGTTTGTTGCTTTGTTGTATAATATGTTCTAGTCACTAACGTGGTAATTGTTAATAATTATTATCACGGCCATTACAATTGACACAGGGATCACCCGTGCGAACAGGAACTTTTTAGTTGTTTCTAGGTGTTATACCCTTCCACCATTATCATCGTCCTTGTTGCCATCATCTTCATCATCATCACTTTCATCCTCATTATTGTTTAGAATAGTATCATTAAAGAGACTTGGGTGTGCCATTAAGAAAACCATTGATTTAAATTATTCAACGCTTAGTTGTTTGGGGCTTTACTAGGAACATAAGAAAGGTGAGGAAAAGCTATAGCAGCAGGAGCATGTTAGATCTAAATGGTGCTCGTTGAGGAGAAATATAATTATAGAAAAAGGGAAATGGGCATACAAGCGAGACAGGGCTGTACATGGACTTTTGGTGATTAACTAAAAAGCTTTAGAAGAAGAGTAATAAAAACGGTTTTATTGGTATGTATATATGTGTGAATGTGGACTTGTGTTTATGTGTTATTTGAATGTGAGTAAGGAGAAGGTGTGAAAAAGCCGATTTGATTATTTTTAGGTGGGGTTTTTTGGGGGGGGGCAGTCACTTTTAAATTGTAAATTTTAAATCTTTGAAATGAGGTTCATCAATTTTTACACCAGCGTTCGTTTGATGTAGCATCCTCCTCCTTCTCCTCCTCCTCCTCCTCC